CTGTTTCAAATTTACGTATTTTAAAGTCGTCGCAAAAATTCCACAAGAAATGGCTCAATAGCGCCACCTAGAAATTTTCAAAAGACCCTTTGCTATTCACTTACTTCATCGTAGAGACATGAAATTTGGTACACTTGTAGAGCTCCCCAAGATGCTCAAAATTTACAATTAATGTCATAGTGCAAGTATCACAGGAAGTCAGCCATTTTGGATTGAAGGTCAAATTTTCACCCCATTTTTGCCGTTTACAGCCTTCGTATTTGATCGAACTCCTCCTAGGGATTTCGATTGATCGGCTTCAAACTCGGTCAGTCTGTTCATAAGGCATGTCCCATCTAAAGTTATCAAAACGGTGAGTTTTTGAGTATGCTGAAGGGGGGTTAGCAGGGTCAAAGTTCACCTACTCGCCATAAAAAAATAAACTGATATATCTCCTACACAGAAACTCACAGAGGCACCAAAGTTACTGTGATTGATCATCATCGGCTGCCCTACAATACCCTATGGTCGAATGATGACATCACTTAGGCCACGCCCCCTGAGAACAGGAAGTGTAATGTTTTACTGTGAACTGTCGCTATCTGACCCCTTTGACCTCATCAACATGAAACTGTGCCCAGACACAGAAAACATGTTGGTGTATTGAGGATTCCAACCCCGACCAGCTTTGATGGAGCAGGTGGGCGTGGCGGCGTGGCGAAGTGACCTGTAACGCCATCGCCATACGTTTGGCTCTCAATTCCACATTTTTGGGCCCAGCTGCTCCAATTTCACAAAGATGGACCCTCATCTACTCCCCGACAGGAATCCATCACAATATTTGGTGGGTGTGGCCTAATTTCTCTATAGCGCCCCCTAGAACACTTTAAATGATCAGCCCCAAGCCATGCTTTAACCTACAAATACGAAACTTTGTACACGTGTGTACCTTGTCAGGACTTACAAAAAAGTCTCTAGGAGCCATGGTCTAAACCCCACAGGAAGTCTGCCATTTTGGATTGAAGTTTGGATTTTGACCCATTTTTGCCGTTTACAGCCTTCCTATTTGATCGAACTCCTCCTAGGGATTTTCATTGATCGGCTTCAAACTCCGTCAGTCTGTTCATAAGGCATGTCCCATCTAAAGTTATCAAAACGGTGAGTTTTTGAGTATGCTGAAGGGGGTTAGCAGGGGTCAAAGTTCACCTACTCCCCATAAAAAATAAACTGCTATATCTCCTACACAGAAACTCACAGAGGCACCAAAGTTTGAGTGATTGATCATCATCGGGTCTCCCAGAATACCCTATGGTCGAATGATGACATCACTTAGGCCACGCCCCCTGAGAACAGGAAGTGTCATGTTTTACTGTGGACGGTCGCTATCTGACCCCTTTGACCTCATCAACATGAAACTGTGCCCAGACACAGAAGACATGTTGGTGTGTTGAGGATTCCAACCACGACCAGATTCGATGGAGCAGGTGGGCGTGGCGGCGTGGCAAAGTGACCTCTAACGCCATCGCCATACGTTTGGCTCTCAATTACACATTTTAAGGCCCAGCTGCTCCAAACTCACAAGGATGGATCTTCATCCACTCCCCGACAGGAATCCATCACAATATTTGGTGGGCGTGGCCTAATTTCTCTATAGCGCCCCCTAGAAAACTTTAAATGATCAGCCCCAAGCCATGCTTTAACCTACAATTACCAAACGTTGTACACATGTGTACCTTGTCAGGACTTACAAAAAAGTCTCTTGGAGCCATGGTCTAAACCCCACAGGAAGTCGGCCATTTTAGATTGAAGTTCAGATTTTGACCCCATTTTTGCCGTTTACAGCCTCCGTATTTGATCGAACTCCTCCTAGGGATTTTGATTGATCGTCTTCAAACTCGGTCAGTCCGTTAATAAGGCATGTCCCATCTAAAGTTATCAAAACGGTGAGTTTTTGAGAATGCTAAAAGGGGGTTAGCAGGGGTCAAAGTTCACCTACACGCCATAAAAACATAAACTGCTATATTTCCTACACAGAAACTCACAGAGGCACCAAAGTTACTGTGATTGATCATCATCGGGTGTCCTACAATACCCTATGGTCGAATGATGACATCACTTAGGCCACGCCCCCTGAGAAAAGGAAGTGTCATGTTTTACTCTGAACGGTCGCTATCTGACCCCTTTGACCTCATCAACATGAAACTGTGCCCAGACACAGAAGACATGTTGGTGTGTTGAGGATTCCAACCCCGACCAGCTTCGATGGAGCAGCTGGGCGTGGCGGCGTGACGAAGTGACCTGTAACGCCATCGCCATACATTTGGCTCTCAATTCCACATTTTTGGGCGCAGCTGCTCCAAACTCACAAGGATGGATCTTCATCCACTCCCTGACAAGAATCCATCACAATATTTGTAGGGTGTGGCCTAATTTCTCTACAGCGCCCCCTAGAAAATTTTAAATGATCAGCCCCAAGCCATGCTTTAGTCTACAATTACGAAACTTTGTACACGTTTGTACCATGTCAGGACTTACAAAAAAGTCTCTTGGAGCCATGGTCTAAACCCCAGAGGAAGTCGGCCATTTTAGATTGAAGTTCAGATTTTGATCCTATTTTTGGTGTTTATAAACCATGTCAGTAATTCGCCACTTGGGGTCAGTATTGCTCCACAAATGAAACAGCAGATAAACAGGATGAACAACAATATCAGTATTTCGCCAGTAGGTGTCAGTGTTCCTCCACCAATGACAGATCCATGGGCGGATGGGCGCGAAAACTTTGTGAGAGCGTTGCCATGAAATTTCTAAAAGGATAGAAATGTCTCAGATAATTTTTGTTGAATTAAATCATGCAGTAAATGTAGCGTTTTCTGACTTCTTACAAACCATTTCAGTAATTCAGTAAGAATTACTCCAACAATGAAATAGAGTGCTTTAGAAACACAGCTGAAAATGATGAAAAATGACGAACTGTAGTACTTCGCCATGTGCATATGATCGGCTGTAAATTACACGTGGATCTTCCGACTGACGCCAAATTGGATACGTATGACCTTTGTTGACCTCTAAAGAGAACAACAGCATTGAAATATATTTTGGCTCCACTGCGCGTCCTACATTAATCCGCCAGCTATATTTCCTCGCTAAACCAATGAATCTGCACCACATTTTTTGCATCGTCAAGGAGCGCCTACAAACGCATCAGTGCGTACCGCCTGGTGGACGGGCGTGGAAACTGCGCAACAACTTCTGTGTTAGCACGTGGCCAGCGTTGATGGAAACTGAGCAACAGCTTCCGCGGTGCGGGCGCAGGAGCTGATAACTGCGTGAGAGCTTCTGTGGTGGCTGACGTGAGGCGACGGTTGCTAGTACCCCGCGGTGGCAATAGGCCGGAGCGGCGCTTGGCTGCGAGGGCCGTTCGAGGCTGCTTGCAGCTTTAATTATTATTATTATTATTATTATTATTACTATTATTATTGTTCACTCTCATTTTTGTGTCTCATTACACAACAGATCAAACACAGTAGAGATGAAGCGGTGCTCTGTCTAAAATAACAGCAAAAGTGCCACAATGCTTCATGTGAAAGACAGAACTTGCTGCTGTCACATTTTTCACACACGGAGTGCGGTCCAGGGTTTTCTCAGAGACTGTCAGAAGATATGACGAATGATCACTGAACGCAGGTGCAAAGCGAAAGAAGTCCTTTCAGGCATCCAACACGTGCTTGCTGTTGAGAGTGATGCATTTAAGTCTTGCACATTCCCCTCTGCTTTGACTGTCAGTGTGACGGCGGTGTGTGACTGCCACCGTGTGGACAGAAGTCACACAGCTCCACTTGGAACAACTTCGATCTGATGTGAAGTGAATAATCCATGGATGTCTTAAATTATTGGTTTGTAGTCATTAAAGTGTGCAATAATTTATTAGAGTTTTACCACATTCTGTCATATTCTGAATATGAATTCACGCTCTCTATGGCATAAGATTTTATTTTATTTTTTCTGCACATCCAGCTGAAGGAGAGCAAGCGAAGCGTGACAGGAATTGATTTTGCTGTATACATATTTGCATTTCAACAGAACACTTGTGCACGAACGCCAGAAAGGGCATTCATGCACAGAAGGTTCCTGTGAGTCACCGAAGCAATACATCATGCTCCCAGCCTTCATCCATTCAGCCCACAGCTTGCTATATGTAAGCAGCAACATGACAAATCTTCCTGGATCTCTCGAGTTAAAGATGGGCCGACATATGCATATGAATATGGAAGTATTCAGATAATCAGTGGGATTCCATTACATGGCATGCCAAAAAAACACGTAGACGTAAACAAACAACATTGTGCTGCACATTTTGTCACATTCTAACCACAAACATCAGTATATTTTGATAGGATTGTTTTTTTTTATCTCCTAAGTCTGAAGTGAAAGGACTGTGGTTTTTATTTATTTCTATACTTAACATGTGTTATTTATTTATTTATTTATTGGCATTTTCTCTGACTTCTCAGAGAAACATGGCGGTGGCAGCATCATGTCTTTCTGCTCAGGATTTGGACAATACAGGGAGATAAATAAAATGACTGACACATTTTTCAGATATTTGTTTTCAAAAAGTATTTTAAAATACCATATCTTCCTCTATTTAATTGGTTGCACCAGATTTTAGACTTTGACTGGATGGTAGGACAATCCCGAATCTGTTTCTACCCACTTTACATTTACTTTTGCAATGTGACAACTAATCACAATGAATGTTTCATCCATCATCTTAATTATCTTAAGTGAGTAAAATAGATTTTTTTTTTCCCAATTTCAGGAGCAGGGAAGCAAATGGCCAATAAGGATGTGAGTTTTCGGAGCGTCTTTTGCTGTGAAAGCTCGCGTCAGAGAGCTTGACCCAAAAAAACCACAAAAAAAAAACCCGTGAAGGTCTAACGACGCGGCGTGTCACGGCATGTTACGCACGACGTTGGGAGTTCCCCTTTCCTCCAACGTGAAAACGCCCCTCTCCTGTCCTTCCAGCCCTCCTCCTGATTGTTAGCCGTCGCTACCGGCTTGTGCCTGTCTGCTGTCCCAGCCTGCAGCGCTGCATCTCCCCGCGGCAGAGAGAGAGGCAGACAGAGACACACACAGAAAGGGAGAGAGAGAGAGAGAGAGAGACAGAAAGGGAGGAAGGTGCTCTCCGGGGCGGTGGCGGCGGTGTCCTGCAACCTCAATGACCAGAACCTTGACATCCGAACCTGACAGGGCAGGTAAGGCAGCTTTTAATTGCATTGTGAAGGTGCGGGGCATGCCGCACTAAACCGGTTATCGCGAAGTGACACTTCTGCAGAAACGGGTGGAGAAGAGGAGAGATCGCATCTCGCGCCGGTGATGAGCTTTGCTGCTGAAAGGGGCGTTTTGTGTGTGTGTGCGTGTGTGTGCGTGTTTGTGTGTGTGTGTGTGTCTTTCTTAATTCCGTGCAAAGGGATCGCTTTTGTGGCTAGAGGTCCATGGGCGGATGTGGCGGGTGTTACCATGCAGCGTTAACGCGGCCAATATGGTCGGCAGGCTGGTTGTAATAAGCAGCACAGAATGAGCGCATCCTTTATTTCACGCCTATCGGGGCCCAGTAGGAAGCAGGTGCACCTTTATCGTTTTCTGAATCTATAAACGCGTGAAGAGAGAGAGAGAGAGAGAGAAAAAGATCTGCATTTCTCCAGCCCTATTTCTGAGAACGTTTTATGCTTAAGGGATTTGTTGTTGTTTTTCCCCTTTTCCCCCCTCAACCTCTGTGTAGAGCCAAAAGCTAACAGCTGATGCTGAAGATAATGGGCTAATTGAAGAGGGGCTGTTTTGGTGCGGGCGTGGCACAGGGGCCATGCATGGGCCCCTCGGACTCCTCAGAGTGTCAACTGCTGCCGTCTGAAAAAGGTGGTCATTTTTTTTTTTTTTTTTTAGAAAGCCTCTTAAACTTGCGGAGTTAGTTTTTTTAAAGAACCTGCTGGTGCGTGTGTGCCGGAGCGGAAAAGAACCGAGGCGAGCTGACCATGCATAATCCAATTTATCAGATCGCTTTTCAGGGAAAACCAGAAGACAATGACGATGACAAATTAGCTGCTTAATAAGCCTGAGCAAGTGAGGGCTCCACTTTAATCTAATCAAAGTGGGTTTTTAAGAGTAGGCACGTTGGCAAAATGTAACAACAAAAAAAAAAGTTGAAGATTTACATAAGGGACTTTGACTAAACCAAGAAATTCAGGGTTGAAATTTAGCCCACAAGTTGAAATCAGTTAAATGATCAATATTTTTTCATGGGTGGTTGTTATGGTAATAACATCGTGCATATGGTGTAGTAATTAAAATGAATCTAGAGCAATCTTTTTTTTCTCTCGGTGCAATCAATAATCAACCCTTTGTTGATTATTATTATTTTTCCATGAACTTCATTTAAGATTTGAGTAAAAGTTTTGGAAAAATTACTTGTGGATCTCTGACGTAAGAAAAAACCCCAACACGATCTAAAACCTTTAATAGTTTACTTTGTATTAAAAAACGTTTGGGGATAATTATCAAAATGTTCTTCATAAACTTTTAAATATGCTTGACCTAAAATGACAAAAAGGCTCCATGTAATAAAGATGCTCCGAAGCTTAAGCAAGGTTTAATGAATTATCAAACTTTTTTGTTTGTGTGTGTGGTTAAAACAGAGGTCACTTGTAACAGTATGCTGTCACAAAGTCCTGTTTGTAACTGTATAATATAATTCTTTCATTTGACACATCATTCTGCTTTCCTCTTCAAAGAAAACAAATATGTTTAAACCCTTAATTTATAAAGTTATTTCTGGTTTTTGATGGAAATCTTGACCAAACGTCAACAGGAAAAGGTTGTTCTCACTGAGCTGATTTGGTTTGGTGAATAAGAGCAAACATTTTCTGCTACATTTTAGGAGAATAAATTACAGTTTTGTCAAAACTTAAGAGAAAGGATGGAAAAAAGATAAGCTGGTTATAGTTCCAGCTTAACATTATAAATTCTTTAAGGCTCCAATAGAGAATCAAAATCTGTTTTTAGGAGGCAGTACTAGTCAAGTGGCAGACACAAGTTGAGATGGTAACATAACCAATCATTAAATATATCTCTCATGTACCAAGTATTGTATTATCAGTTTTATGACATGTGAATAATTATCATTCGCTTAACAGATAATACTTTAAGCTGCATTTTCGAAAGGTACGGCAACAAAGCATGTTTCATTAAATAACGTGAAGTAGCAGAGCACGTTCGGTTTGGGCATCCAGCAGTTTGTGTTTCCACATTTACTGCACAAACAAGTGGACTTGTCGGTTCTCATCACTGATGCCCCCTTTTGTTCATTCTCCTCTAAGGCAAACAGACTGCAAGCCCTCGAGTATCTGGCTCCTTTGCAGCCTCACCACAGGCCACACTATCTCCCAGACTCCCGAGTTTGTTGAGGCAGTCAGAAAAAAGGAGAAGGAGATCAAGGGCGGGAGGCGGAGGGGTGGGGGGGGGGGGGCAAATTAGATCTGAAATCCATCCATCTGTCCATCTATGCCTCTGAACTCTCTGTGCATCCTCCCATCTCATTTTTCCTTTCACCTGCTCCACTTTTAACCTCTCCGATGTTCATTATGGAGGTGCAGACAGAGTGGTGCTCCTTTCTCAGAACCCTTTGCTAGTTTAGATGAAAAAGCACTGTGTCTTTTAACGGCATGCATTCTTTGAACTACTTGGTCAAACTTAGTCAGATAATTATATGGTAGATGTACGCAGGCAGTGATGCGCTTCAATTTTCCAGGCAAGGGTAGAGTGCAATCGACATTCCAGCCAATATATTCTCAGAAGGCAGCTTTGTTTTGCATAATAATTCAGCGACCATGCTTGTTTAAGGTAAGGCAACCTTAATACAGTTCCCCCCTCAAGGCCTTTGAGGAGGCATTTTATGATTGATTTGTAATACCTTGTTGAAGCAGAGAGCCTATCTGGAGCTCTCCACTGGATAAACTCAAATTACTTTCAAATCAGAGGAGCTTTCAAAGGCATATCAAAGATAACAGCATGTAATAAACTGTCAGTTGTGCATTATGATGCACAAATTATCATGCCCAAGTTATGAACGGCAACATGGGGTTGACACAGGAATGTTTATACGGCCAATCACATGCTATCACAAAGATGAGACACTCAGTTTTTAACACCTGCAGTAATGGATTTTATTTTATTTTTTTCTGAAGAATATCAACGTGATTGCTGATACCCATCATAGTGAATGGAAGTAAAAGTAATAGCTTTCAGTGCGTATGAGAGGATAGGAGTTGACTGCGTTGCATAAAAACTGTGTTTCTAAAATTGGTGTTGCTGGATTCACATTTTTAGAGAAAAGTAAAGTTGATTTTGTAAGATTAGATGTTTTATTTTCAGATGCCGCAATGCTAAATGATCTGTCTTTAAAATTCTTTAAGATAACAAAAAAATAAGTCTTTATTAAGCTCCTACTTGTGGAAAATTCTGCTGGCAGTTGTGAAAAAAATAAGTGAAAAAAAAAATATTTGGAACTAGGTAGATTTCTCAGGTAATCGTTGCACATTGATCTGGGTTCGTTCGGACTCTGATGCCTTCTTACATACTTCAGAAAGTATAATTCCACTCCCATCGGCAGCCACATTATCAATAAACACCAATGACCCAGTTCCACTGGCAGCATGCCCACTGCATCCCACTGCTCCCTGTTTAACAGATAAGGTGAACCTTAGCTGATGGATTCTGCAGAGTCCTTTTCCTTTCCATCCTCTTCTGTCCTAAATGCTCTGATACAAGTCAGTGACGGGTTCCTCTCTTCAAAGAATCTTGTTTCACATCTGAGAAACAAGTCTAGATATCTTCAAACAAAATCTTATGTTTCCTTTGTATAAAAACCACTTACAGTAAGAATGCCTTTAACTTATCCAGTTGTTGTGGAGGGAACTTTTTCATAATGGGATAATTTTCCTTTCAGCTTTTTGAAGCTTCAAAAGCGCAATAATCATCATCACAGGAACGATCCCGTTCAGCAAGCCTGTCAAAGTCTCTACATCATGTTCAAACCTGCACGAAGATAACCGGACCCCAAATCTACGAGACACTGCTTCAGATCTGACTGGATTTTTAAAGCGCAGATGGAAATATTTTTATTTGGATGGAATTTTGTTTTTCACTCCACAAACATTTGGAAAGAATATTGATTTGATTGTTTTTCATGTAAGCAATGAAGTTAAGATACTTAAAGCTTTAAAATTGTATTTCAAAGAATCAGCCATTGCTGAGTCAAATGATTGGATTACCTTCGAGTTTGCCATCAAATAACACTTCTTAATTTTTCCATTTTTTTTGTTGTATTGTACAGGAAAAGCAGATATCTGCCTCTATAACAGATCATGTGTCATTTTGTTCCATTTTCACATAAATTTGCTCTTCTCTGACCAAAGCAAGGACTGAATGCAAATGTATGTCAAATTTCTTAGATTTCATGTCTTAACGACAGAATATTTGAAGCAATTTTTGTTAATCTATTCATAGTTTACTGTTACAAAATGCAACCAGAGTTAAAATCTAAAGTTTTTCTCCTGGGTCCCTGAGTTTGTGGTGCTTCATGTTTTAAAATTACCAAACATTATTATTTTTTCTAAACCTGAGAGAGAGTATTTTTAACATCCATCAACACATTATTTAAGTATTGGTAGAATTTCCTTTTAAACTGTATGTCTATTTAATTGTTATTATTTTTGGATATTCTCCCTCTAGTTTCTTACAATAGTTTGCTGGAATTTTTGTCCCATTTCCCAAGACGAAACTGGTGTAACAGGTCAGGTTTGCACGTTGCTTTGCTCACGCTCTCGGAGCTTTGTGTTGACTGCTCCGCAAGATTTACTTTCTTGCTCTTAAGCAACTTTAGTGACTGTTAACTCACACTCTCGTTGGACAACCTGTTTGCATCACAACTTTAACTTCTTCACTGATTATTTAATTTCCTGATCTAACGGCTTTCAAATTCAAAATCTCAAATTACCAAAAATGCTCTGAATTAACCCATTAGTTTCCAACAAAGGAACATTATTTAAACTTTTTTTCAAATATGTTTAAAGGCATAGTAATCTCAATTCATACAAATTAAGGTGAAAACAAAAAAAAAGTGCAAAAATTCTTTCTTCCATCATCTAGGCTTTTATAAAACTGAAATAATTTGGGTAATCCTGACTGAAATCAGGGGAAA